GGGGGGGGCGCTCCCTCAGTAGGTCAGGGGTCAACGGGGTCAACCCTTGCAGGTTCGGGCGGGCTAGCAGACTTTGCAAAAGCACAACATTTTACAATGATTTCATAATTGAAATAAATGAATGACTTCCTTCCAATGTATATTGTATTGTTACATCAATCAAACAAACAAACAAAAAATGGACACATTTTAAACAATAAACAAATGCATTTGAAAATTTGTGCTACACAAAGACACACTGAACTGAAAAATCTTCAACTTTAAAAATAATTTAAAATTCATTTACGCTTGTAATACTGATTTAAGAGGTATTCAGGAAGCAAGAAAATATACAAGATGGTTTTAAAGTTGAAAAATTTAAATACATGAATCAGAGGATTTAAAAATGAGACTATTGTCTGTTGACAAGATACAAATAAGAAGTGAGATGACATCCTATGTTGTTGAAATCATTAATCTTTATAAACACAAAGATGAAGAGAATTTGGAACTTTGACTAAAGGAGTCTTACATTATTTTTATTTATCACAGTTAAATTAACAGCTAGGGGTGATTGGGCAGGCAATGAAAATTACTAGTTTCAGTTTAGTGAAAAATAGTACCCTCCAAAAAAATCACGCCCCTGCTCTTACCATTCCTTGAATAGCCTAAGAAATGAAACAGATTCATTCAGGAGTATTAGCGGTAGGAGTCTTTGAGTCTTCAGAATCTTCTTCCTTGGCAACAGCAGCAGGAATAGCAAATGGTGGAGGCCTGTGCAATGTATGCAGGGGTGCCTTTGGCTGGGCAGGTTTAAAAGGAAGAAGAGAACCAAAGAAAACATGCTGAATGACTGGAAACTTTGCTAAAACCTGAAAGAAATCAATTTATGTTTACAACAACTCTTTTATAATGTATTTTTTTAGAGCAAATAAATTGATTCTTAGCGCTATGCAGTTTTATACCTCGGCTTTGTACATTTTCAGAAGGCCAGAATTTATTTTTGTCCATGTTGGGACAGCACTTATATTCCACAACTGATTAGAATGTTCAGCAAACTGGCCTGTTTTTACCTAAAACAAAATTGCAGGGATTTGTTTACTGTGTACAGTACACTTACACAATCAGTCAATATCAATAGACATAGGTAGGCCCAAGAAAATTTATCATGGGCTATTACACAATTACCCAAAACAAAGTCAGACTGTACCTTATTTATGAATTCAATACAACCAATAAACATATATTCTTCTGAATAACTTTCAACACACTCCTTTTCAAGAAACATTTTTGGCTCTATGTGCCCCTGTCCTGCATGTAAAAAGAAAGAGCACAGTTAGTAGGTGGGTAAAAAAATTACTGTTCTGAGTTTATAAACGACCACACTTACCCATTAGTTGTGAGCTGCCCCAAATAAATGGCACAAATTGATAATCATCCAGACTCCAGACCCCATGACTGCCAGCAGGTTCCATGCGATAAGTGATTTGAAGTTTCCGAACAAGTGCAAGGTACCTAAATAGACAAATGCAAGTAAAGCTGTTAGTACAAGTGACATCATAAGGGCACAGAAAGAGCATACGTTAGAAGTAAGACATACCTTGCAAAAATCTTATTAACAGCAGCTATTTTATCAGTTTGAGTCAGAGCCCCTATCTTGAAAAGACAGCACAGGAGCATAAGGAAGGCCATTTCATGACCAGTGCCATAGTCAATGCGTGTGCCATTACCAAAGCCATTCACCAAGTACACCACAAGTTCAGGAATTGCTCTCTGGTACTTGGCAGGTAATGCTTCAGCCAGTAAACTGTCAGCTCCCTGAATTACAAGGAAACAATCTTATAAAGAATCAAAAGTAAGGAGAGCAATGAAACGTAAATTTTTGTACTCACCTCCGTTACTTTCTTTAACCACTGAGCAAACGCCTGGTTGCCAAATCTTTGGGGTTGATCAACAGGCGGAGTCTGATCAATCCAGAGATCCAGTTTTTCAAGGAGTTCGAGCATTGTTGATACAACTCCTGACATACTACAGGATGATTTGTTTGATTTGTTTTTGACAGCCATGTTGAGAGCATTTATAAATCCCACGTATTCCTGTGAACAACACACATAATTGTCTGATAGAAGTCGGTTTTGGTTGAACCAGTGTTACCATCAAACAAATTTTACCTCATATGCTTCTGACTTCTGCCAAGGACCCATATCATCATTAGAATTTACTGCTTTAACAGGGACGATAAAGTCATGAGCTTCGGGATCTGTAAGAAAATTTTACATGCAATTGTGGGTCAACATAAATGAATGAAGCAATAGAACTGATTGTCGTTATTTTCAAGATTTTGACAACAAAATACCGATTGACAAATGAAATTTGTTTAGTAGGAGTAAATAATACTGAGGTTAACAAAACCATTTTATTTTTTGTAATAATCATGTCACCTGACAAAACTGTCATGGACTTGAGATACCATCGATCTTACCTACGGAGCCCATTTCGAAACGCTACAATATGACGCTGGGGCTAGAATTTACAGAAAGTAATGTTCTGAAAACAGAGAGGTAGGAGAAAAGTTGTCGGTGTCGGCAAAGCTGAAAACTCCCGGTCTCCCCCGGTGTTGTGAGTCATCCACGCATAAATTATCTTTGAGAAGAGGAATAGCAAATACAACAACAAGATAAGCAAATCAGTTTAACCTGAATTGAGTTGTTATAATTGAGAACTGTCTTAAAATTCAAACATTCAATCCCGATATGGTCCCAATGTTAACATTCTGACCGTGCATGATCATGGTCCATCACTAGAACACACCTCCGACGCCATTAGTTCTTCGCGAACTGCCGTGAAAAAAGTAGAGGGAGGGTTTTGTGGAAGTTTGGATAGCTGTTTCTTGCGTTAAATTTCTATCTGTCTTGCTTTTGCATTGCTTGCTGAGTACATCTGTCGGTAAACATTCACTTATTTTTATTTCGGAGCATATGACATATGTGACCCGGGAGGAAGATGCAGTTCTATGCGTGAAGTAAGTTGCGCGTAGGTAAACATTTATGAAGTTCTCGTGTGTTTTTAGACGCAGACGGTGCTAATTTCCTTTAAGCTATATTTTTGTCTGTTGATCTTCTTTCTATTTTACTTGATGCTGAATGAGTTAATCTTTTTTTTTAAATTACTGCCCTGGGAGTTATCTTCCACTTCTTGTTCCGTTTAACCTCTGTCGCCTTAGTGCCGCTATGTGGCCTATACACTTGTCTAGTTTCTAATTTTATTTCTATTTTAGTCGTACGAATCTTGTATTTCTATAGAAAGAACATTATCTTTGCTTGGCCAGACAACTTAAATCCTTACATGCCTTTTTCCTTTGAAGGACTTTCCCCCCCAATTGATGACATTTGGCATCTAATACTTGGTTTGATAGTCTATCTATGCTTTTTAATCCTTGAGAGAGAAGTGTTTTTTGGGTTTCTTGGTGGAAAATATTGTTCAGCTAATTCTCAAGAGCTTGTTATGAGAGGTATTGTTTCATGTGTCAGCCTACTTCTAGCCATTGCATCTGACGCCCACACACATACCCCCTGCTTGGATGGGAGTGTGCAGATGCAATTGCTATACACCATTTTCTTAGTGAGCATCGGGTTCTCTTTGTAAATCTCTGAAATCTGCGAGAAGTGGTACTCAAATGTTGATCATATAGAACAGTTTGTTTGATTTACCTGTTATATGCTGCTAATATGTTTTTATTTAGGTAGTTGATGTTTCCTGGTCCCAGTGGAATCAATTCGTTTGGATCTGCTTATAACTGTTATTATTTATTATTGAAAGTAAAGAAACAGTGTCAGCATTCACATTTTGCTAATGTTATAAATTCAAAGTTTGATCTCTTGTTTTTCTTGTTATTCTACTAGTTTTGTCTTTCCATTAATGATAGGAAATGGTTAATACTTTGTGCCTTGTTGATGTGAACCTCCAATAAGAAACATGTCTGACCATTTGGACAATGTGTTTTCAGGCCATCATGGTATGACGTCACACAGGAATAGACGACTTCAGTTCTACTCCCTTGTGTTGGCCGAGGTTCAAGATTATCAAGACATCGCCTCTGCCTCCTCTCCTGCATCTCATATCCTCAAGAAGCAACAACGTAAGTTGGGCTGCGACAAAGCGTCACTCCCCAGCGCAATGTTCACCTTGTGTCAGACAACAAAACTTTTCAATTGGAGTATTCCAACATGCTCATCTTCAACATCAACTGTTCCGTGTATAAAGAGACAACTGTGCCGTATTGCATGGGGCCTCGGTGCCCAAGGCGGGTGATTGCTTATTTTGTATACGACATGTGGCAATCAAGCAAGTGAGCGGAATGGGCTTTGGGGCATGAGCCCTGATTTTCTGATATTATTGACTGTCACGTGTGTCCCACACATTGCAGAGCTGATTGACTGGCTCCCAGAGCTGACCTGCTGCCTCTGAGAGCAGGACATGGAGTTCCATGCGGACTCATATGCCACGGACCGTCAGAACAATCGTGACTGGTGAGTATCCAACCAACAGGATTATTTTTTTCAAAAGGCACCCAACATATGATTTCTTACTTAAAAAAATTTTCATATTAATTTAATCTATCTATACATATTTATTATGTCAGTATTCCTAATATTACTCTGATAGCACAACTTTTTGTCTCTTTATTTATCTTAACTACTTAGTACAAATTTTGTACTAGATGAGGAATAGTTCATTTAAAGTTCCTTCAGATGTGATGTGTTATGGTTTCCTGATGGCTCAGTTTTACGAAAGGTACCTGAGTAATTTAAGAAAGTAGCTTGTTGCTGTTTTCTACCTTAATTTTCGTGTGGTCTGCTGTTTAATTCGATTGTCTTTCTAAACATCTGCTAATATTTGAGCACTGTATTTTTGAGTAATTTTCCCATAATTTGTAGGTTTCTAGTATGCACCATCACTGCTCTTTGCTTAGTAGAAATGTTCCTGGTTGCTTGTGTCCAATAGCTTTCTGCTCATGTAATTTTCATTATATATGGAATCCATTTTGACTCCAATAATTGTACTATTTTGGTTGTTAACCTCTGGGACTGTTATTTCCTATGGACCCTGCATTTCTTTTTCCATTGTCTGCTCAAAGTTGATAAAAAGTACAGTTTTTCTGATAGTTGTAGGAAGGGGAATCATTAAGTTATCTGAAGCGGCATCCAAATGGCAGTTTAGTTCAAACTTATTGCAGTGTTCAAATATTTTCAGATGGGTAGTACTGCCAAATTGCTGGGGTAATTCAGGCTTTGCTTTGTGCAGGGAACGTCGGCAATCACGTGACAGAGTAAATCGAGCTGAGTTCTCTGGTGCCCAAGAATGGGAAGAGGAGGACGATGATAATGCCACTGATCGTTGGGCTCAAGATCGTAGGCCTGACGACAGAGACAGGGACAGAGAGCGATACCGAGAAAGGGACAGAGACCGAGAACGTTACCATGAAAGGAGGGACCGAGATCGGGACAGAGAGAGGGACAGAGATAGAGAAAGGGACCGAGACCGAAGCAGAGACCATAGAAGAGAAGACAGGGATGACAGCAGGGATAGAAGAGAACACCGTCGTAGAGACAGTGATGACGATTCGAGTGACAGAAGAATGAAGCGAGATGAGGATGAAAACTCTCCCAGGGACATGGATTTAGAGAGCTCGTAAGTTTCTCCAGAATTGAATATAAGTATTTGATCGATTGATTGATGATTGAACATAGCAAAAATTTTCTTTTGTTTGCTCATGGCATTATTTCAGTGATGGAGATCCTGCCGGCCAAAACAACTGGACATCTGACTGGCGCAGCAATGCTACACCTAACCACACCATTGTCATTAGAGGCCTTGCTCAACATATCACCGAAAATGATGTAAGGTTTTTTCTTATCATTATCATAATTCACAAAGTCACAAAATGTGTTGTTGTACGTAATTATAATCGTTGCTCTGGGTTTGTGACACTATGCTTTCTGGTTCTTCAGATACGTCAAGATTGTATGCAAGGAGGAGTTACACCAAAGGCTATTCGATTGATCCGCAGAAAAGACACAGGTAAATTAATAGTAGGAGGTTGTACTTGTGTGCCTTGCATGCTGTCGGGTAAATGTTCACACTGGTAAAAATGCATGGTTGTTTAAAACACACCTTCCTCTTTGTGTACAGTACTTTGCAGGTTTTACTGCCCTTGAAAATGTATTGATTTTGTTCACTAACGCACAACTCTCACTGTAATATGTTAGTTTTACCTGGAAAGTTTTGTCTTCTTAGTTATCAAAAACTGAATTGCTTTCACATTTTAGTTTTATGTGATGGTATTGGTATGATAGATTCCTAACTATGTTGCTGTTTCCTTCCTAAAAGAGAACAAACCTCTGATAAATTTTCTTACTTGTGAGGTGATATACTTAAACTTGATCAATAAAACACTGACTTTTTACCTCCAATATCCTTTGATTTAAGATCAAACTTCATTTATTTGCCATCAAATTAATAAATTTAGTTCGATTGCAATTTGGTTATGAGTGCACTATACCAATTATATTGAGTTTATAGCTTTTGGATAAGACTTTGTAATTGACATGAAGTATGTCTGTGAAAGTTTGCATCCATTTTGATCTAACAGTAGTTTATGTAATAATTCTACACCACAGCATGATCATTCAACGACATGTTAATCTAGGAAGAGAGTGGGTCAAAATGATACAGCATTGAAAACTGTTGAGACCCACAACTTCACTATTCTTCTTTATCTATCTAAACCTGCATGATTATCTTTATCTGTCAAATACCCATATTTATTGTGGCACAATTTTTTGAAGACATACTTTGTCAAAGTGCTTCCATTGTTACTCTGTAGTACATTATGACACTTTAAGATATGGTAAGGCACTTGACACTTGGCTCGGGCTGCGGGTTGTTGGTTCTTTTTTTATTGATGTGAGAAATTAACTCTGCCTTGTGTTGGTCCATGTCTGTAGGTACCTCAAGAGGCTTTGCTTTCGTCGAGTTTAACAGCACCCAGGAAGCTTCTCGGTGGATGGAGATGAAACAGGTATCCGGTTGGATTGTTCCACTCCTATCCCCGTTCTACGACTTATGGCCCTGGCCCTGATTCAGACTGGTGCTGAGGTGTATGGAGTGAAGCTCTAAGAGATGTCTTTGCTCTTATGTAGAGATTTAAGATTTCATTACTGAGGGGTGGCGATGATCAGGTTGTACCTCCTGTATGAAGTCTTAAATTTATACACTATTGTTCTTTACTCATCCTTTACCACTTGGATGTTCAGTTCAATCCATGCAACTCCTTAATTTTTCATTAAAAAAAATAATTTTAAAAAATAGTCTTTTTAGCTTACTGAAGCATTGAAAGAAATGTGATAGTTTTTTAAAATCATTGTCATGTTCATAACAGTTTGATTTCGAGTCTGCTTTGTAATCAACTCTGAACTTTATGATCTTTATTTTATTTTCTTAAGTCACAACAATTTTGTCTTCCCTGAAAATTGTCATGATTTACACACACTTCTATCATATTATTGGAAAAAAGAATAGTACAATGCTTTGTCCCCCTGGATGAGTTTGCCTTATTCTCAGCTTTGTTTATAAGGTGCTTATGAGTGATGTGCAATTGTGAGTTAGACCCACTTCTATTATCAATAGTTACGTGGTATTGTCATGTTGCTGCTCCATTCGAACTTAGTTGTCCCTAAATTTGATTTTATTACTCATTATTATTTACCTATTATTACCCATTTCTCTCTTCGTAACGTTATTGATCAACCGTTTTTCACTTGCTACTGTGGATTATTGTTATTTGTTAATTCAAGCTCTTCAGTGTTCTGACATTTTGTACTTGAGGTGTCTTACTTATGATTAGTGCCTTGTATTCAATTCAAGGATTCATTGAGTCTCTTACCTATTCACTCAAGGTCTATGTTTGAGTTTCAAGCCAATACATTTACTGCCACTTTTAATACAGTTTATTGAGATAAAAAATTTGTGAATACGCATGTTTTGTAGCAACAAACTGTTGTGCTTCATTGTTCTTTTGATTGGTTTTTGGATAGTAAATTAAAAATGCTTGTGTTTTTTCTGTGTGTGCAGGGTGTGCTGATGCTACAAGATCAGTACCGAGCTGTAATGCAGTACAGCAAAAACCCTCACGACCGAATAGGAGGCCCACCTCCAGGAAGACCCTTAGCACAGGATTGGAATTGCATTAGGGTTGGTCTCATTTTATAATCTTGTTGTTTAGTTAACAGACAAATACTAGAGCTTCAAAAAATAGACTTCAGAGTCAAAATTCAATCGGAAAACAATGAAAAAGAAAGGATATATATATTACTAAATTTGTATCATGTGCATGTGCTACTATTCAGCTCAGTAGATTCTTTAATTCTGCAACTATCTCATTCTGCTGAAGTTGTCAGTTATATGTTTTAATGAGGTTCTTAAAATTTTAGTGTGGAGGCCACAACTTCAAAAACAGAACTGCTTGTTTCACATGCCATGTACCAAGACCAGAAGCAGAAGATATGGCTGCATCAGCTATAGGTTTAGAAGAAATTAGCCCTGTACCATCAAGTAGTAAGTATCCCTCTCTCTTTAACATAGTGTGGTAACTCATGGATTTAATTCACCTTGGAGTTTTTCATTTGGGATCAACACAACAAACACAAGAGTATTCACCCTGAATGTCCCCCATGTAACATTTTGCACTAACCTTTTAACAATTCTGGAATGTCTCCTGTTCATTCAATGTCATGTAGTAGAGCAGTAAAAACAACTACAAATGAGTTTCTTTAGTTTTCTTGTATTAAATCTCAGTGCATTTGTAAGTTTGTGTGAATGTTTGTTAGTAATTTGTGTGTAGTTTTTCCCTTTCTCCTGCATCAATTTAGAAATACCCCTTCCGACGGGAAATAACCCTTTAATAATTCTGTTCAACAGCTATTCTTCTTCGTGGATTGGATCCCATGTCAACAGAAGATACTGTGTTGGCCGCCATAAAACCCTACATTTCTCTAGTTCCCTTACGCAGCATTCATATTGGTCGAGATCCTCTCACAAATCAGGCACGGGGTTTATGCTATTTGGAGCTTCGTAGTGTTGTTGACAGCATGTTTCTGTATCAAACTCTGGCACTCAACCCTCCTGTGATAGATGGACGAAGAGGTGAGGTTTTCCTCTTACTTTTTTGAACATACTAACAAGTCAAGAATATTACTAAAATAATACATATCTGTTAAGCTCTGTAGTTAGCAATACATCTTAATCCTTTCATTTTTTTAATGGTATATTGCTCTCTGATATATTTACACACAACTTTGTCCTAATTGCACAATTTTAACCACTTATTTCTTCTTATTTCTTCTAGTTTTGGTATCGTACTGCAAAATGATGGGTGTTGACGTTGGGGCAGCACTAGCAATCTCTGCTGCTAATTCAGCAGCACTTGCAGCAGCACAACTAAATCATCATCAACTCATACTTCAGCAGCAACAAGTTATTGTGGCCCAACATCATCATCAGCAGCAAGCAGCTGCTGCAGCTGCCATAGTCGCCCACCATCACCAACAGCAACAGCAGCAGGCAGCCACGGCAGCCTTGCTTGGCTCCGGTCATATTCCTGGTGCACAGTACACATTGGAAGATGTCCCTCGACTAGCCGAGTATTCTGCAAATTTGTATGCAAATACTCCAGAAGAGCGTGCAGCATTTTTGCAGTACTATCAACAATATTATGCAACTCAAATAGCTGAGGTTAATTGCGTCTCCATCTGCCACAGTGTCTAGTAATGAGTCTTGTTCTCATATAATGCCATAAGTTTACACCTGTCCTTTGAATTTTATTCCAGGGTGCTGCAATTACCCTACCTGTGCAGGTGGAGGGTGGTGCTATGGCTGCAGCTGCTGCTCATCAAGTAGTACTTCAGCAAATGCACGCCGCCGCAGCTGCCGCCGCTGCCAAAGACCATGTACTTATTTTTATCTCTGTCAAGTAATTTTTTATTTGACTAAACTTTTATTTTAAACATTTTTTTTTATCTTGATTGTATTTTAGGATGACGCCAAGATTGAATTGCTTAAGAAACTGAAGGGAACAGATGTCAGGTCAAAGGCAAATGTTGGCAAACTTGCAGTTGAACAAGCCCAAGCTGCAGCTGCTGCTCAAAATCAGTCAGCTCTTCAAAACTCTGACAGTTCAGTATCAGGAAAGACTGGACCACAACCCAGAAGGGAGATGGTTGATTTCACAAACACCAAGCATTGTAAGTTTTGAAACTTTCTTCCTGCCGTGAGGTGTTTATATACTATCTATCTGTTCTTGTTGTAATAATGTTATTATTTGCAGCACCTCCTGATGTGAGCACTTACCAGTATGATGAGAGCTCAGGTTATTATTATGACTCAAGCACCGGACTTTACTTTGATCCCAATTCACAATACTATTGGAATGCCCAAACACAACAATTTATGTATTGGGATTCGGAACGGTCCACATATCTTCCTGCACCCTCAGACGGAAATGATCCTTCTTTATCAAATGGTGCAGGTTCTAGAGATGATGGCTCAAAGAGGGATGGGAAGAAGGGGGAAAAGTCTGACAAAGTTAAAGTTGCAAAGAAGATAGCCAAGGTGATTTGAAAACTTTTTAAACATATTGTTGGTTTCTCTGTTTATATTTTTACACAATTCCCTTTAACTTTTCTGTGACTTTTTTAGGATATGGAGCGGTGGGCAAAATCTCAGAACCAACGAAAGAATATGAACCAAATGAATCTCCCATCTAATAATATTCCTGAAAAAAGTGGCGCTGCTGATGCTGGTTTTGCCATTTTAGAAGGAAGGTCTAAGGTGACTTTGACTATGGCAAATCAGGCTCCCATGATAGATAATCTCAACCACTCTCCATCTAGGGTAAGCAAACTTAACTGAAGAATTAGTTATTATTACGTAATTTCTTGAAAGTATTTTATCCCAGCCATTGTTTTCGTTTTTGCATTGATCCTGTTCTAATCTAATTTTTATTTTGAATTCCTTTTGTCTAGGGTGAACCAACCTTAAACAATTCCAGCAGTACTCTGGTTGCTGCGTATGGTGGGGGATCTGAATCCGAAGAAGAAATTGAAGATGTCCAACAGGAAGAAAAACAGCATCTGGATTGGTCCAAATTAGCATGCTTGTTGTGCAAACGTCAGTTCCCTAGCAAGGAAGGCCTCAACAGACATCAGCTTCTTTCAGACTTGCACAAACAAAACTTAGAAACGTGGTATCGGTCAAGAGGTCTTGACCCTCATGATCCCCAACAGAGGAACAATAAATATCGTGATAGAGCAAAGGAAAGAAGACTAAAGTATGGAGAGCCTGACAAACCAAACCCAAACCGGCTGAAGGTAAAAGTTTTTGTTTTACTGGAACAGTGCAGCATAAAATACCATTATCTTCAATAATTTTAATGTGTCTGTCTCTTATGTACAGGAAAAGTATTTGAAGTCAAGACAGGACAGTTCATCCACCTATGAAGAGCCTACTAAAGCAGGCATTGGTGCTGATAACAAGGGCAACCGGTTATTGCAGAAGATGGGATGGCAGGAAGGAATGGGCTTAGGTAAAAGCAATCAAGGGAGAACCACAATTATCCAGGTAAGCACATAAATAATAATTTCTTAAGAGTCCTGAAGGAATAAAAGTAAAACTACATACTTTACTTAGTTTATATGTTTCTTTATTTCAGGCTGAACAGCGTGTCTCAACAGCTGGTTTAGGATCAAAACAATCTAGCTATACACCACTTCCAGGTGAAACATACAAAGACTGTGTTAAAAAGATGATGTTTGCACGATATCACGAACTTTCTGAACAGGAGAACGGGGGTAGTTAATTTGATTCTGTTTCAAAATACAAGGCCAAAATATTCTCCTTTATTTTACTAACTAATTAGGCAATCTTCCCAATTTGTGACTGACTGTAGTCGTAAGCCTACTAAGGGTAGGGGCATATGCTTTAATTTATTGATCACTACTTCTGTTTTATGAGCTTCAATATTCATTGTTTGCTACACATTATGAATAACTTTGTACTATGATCTTCATTCTACGTATTACTATTACATTATTAGACTAGTAAAAAAGTTTCCAGTCTGTCTTTTAGGAGTATTCCTAGTTGTAAAAAACAATGCTAAACATTTGTATGAGCACATTTTTATGTTACATGTAAATAGATTGGGCTCTAACCGTGGATTAACTTCAAACAATTCAAAGAAATCAATTTTAAATGCTGGACTGTTGCACTCTGTCAGCCTAGCTGATTGATAGATGTTATGTGTAAGCCCCTTTAATTTGTGATATACTTTGTACATAATTTTTTGATTGTCTATTTGTACTCATAGAGTTTGTTGGAACTGCATAATGTAAATGTTATGTACAGATTGAATCACCAATCTCCTCATTCCTGCTTGTTATATTTTCGCCTCTCCAAGAACTACTCAATTGTGTGTGTGTGAAATTATAGCAGCCAGAGGATGTTGCAGAAAACAATTGTTAGTGCTTCCATCATTGTTTTCAGTCCGTTTCTTTTCGTAGATAGCCTTCCATGAAAGTATGCTCAAATTATATCTACACGAATTTTTAAATAGACCTAAGTACTGTTAGTTTCACTGCAGCAAAATATTGATCTATTTAAAAACCTTCAAAGTAATTGCATATGCTCTCTTGTTAAACTTTGTTCCGTGCAAAAGTTGCCAATTATTTATGCAAGTTTTTTTTGTTTTTTTTTTTAATTACTGCATGTTTTTGTATGATATGTATAACTTGGTGTTGTATCCAAGTGTCCTGTATAAAATAACAGCAAAATTTGCTATGTAAATAAATGATTCCCTTAATAGAAATGCATCTTTCACTGTTAACTCCTCTTCTACCCCCTGGGGGGGGTTGGTAATGTTCTCCCGCACGGAAAAAATAATCATCAATAAATTGAGGGAGGACTTTCCTCACCCCAGAGCGACTTCTGAGCTCGGAAGGGGATCAGGCGAACCACAACGGTCAGAACATACTCCCGAGCCGAGGACATAATCAACAGAGAGGGAAAAAAGTTCTACGGCTGTGAGTCGATCCCTGGGCTGACGGTTTCCGGACCACACCACAGCGCGCTCGCCACTCGGCTGTCGGCTCCACTTGTCAGTGGAGAGTTCAGAACTCGGTCCTGCTGTACGAGTCTTGGTCTCCCAGATTGCACGCGTTAAGGTCGGGTCAAGTCCACCTCCTCGACGCGCTGCAGCCCGGGTCGACTCCTGGCCAGAAACAAGGAAAATGGCCAGGAAATAAGCCCCCCGGGCGCGAGGAGGTTAGGTTAGGCTAGCGGAGCGTGCATTTATTGGCCTTTTGGCCAAGATTTCGACCCGGGCTGCAGCGCGTCGAGGAGGTGGACTTGACCCGACCTGAACGCGTGCAATCCGGGAGACCAAGACTCGTAAAGTAGGACCGAGTTCTGAACTCTTTCACAACATGAGGTGCCGACAGCCGAGTGGTGAGCGTGCCGGGCGTTGCCCCGGGACACCGTCGACCCTGTAGTGGGCGGGGTACAATATAGGTAGTGGCAAATAATTCGCACGCGATGCCGCTTTGCACACGGCTACTTATGGCCAAAACAAAGGATTTGACCCGCAGAGGCATCAAAAATTTCCCT